GGCATCCCATCAAAGTTGTCATAAAGCCCGTCACTGACACATTACATCAAAGGAATGCCCAAGCCCCAGCAGGGTTAAGACACACCAGCCTCTATAGCCCACAAGGCTGCCAAAGGGATGGATGTGGCCAGCTTCATGTCCAGCTGCCTCAATTTCCTCAACTCAAATGACCAGGTGTCCATTTATAGCTGGGTTGGCTAGGGCTGGTATTCCACACAAATCTAGAGAGGCTCATACTCACATCTCTGGATGCACAGCAAAACAATTTAACCACTTCCCCCTCAAGTCAGATGACCCTGAGCAAGTCCCTTATACCCCTGGGCCTCAGTCCTCCATCTGTGACGAGGGGAAAACACTGCCCTGCCTCACAGTGGGGTGGGATGATGAATGTTTTAAGGGATTGTGAAATTGAATTGCTGGAGTAATGAGGGCCATAAAATGGGTTAAAGACAAGACACTCTTCTCCTTAAAAACCCAACACGTAGACAAATGAACATTTATCACAGTGTAATGTACATGTCTTTGGAAATGATGCTGGGATCAGGAAGAGGCAGACTGCAGCTCTTATAGCATCTTACCACTGGGCAACAAGAAAACAGGTTTAGCAACCAGCTACTCCAGGACAGACACAAACCCAAACCAGTCTAACTGCAAGAATCATACCCCTAATTCTCTCAGGAGTACTTCACAAAATCAGTGGAAGTTCCCCTGGTTCAAGGGGTTGTCTCACTTGTCAGTGTCTTTACATCAGTGTAACATTGACTACACTGGTATAAACATGCTGACCATTCAAGCACATCCGGTTCTTTTCAACCCTTTTCTAATTCAACGTACAGTCCATCAACCCACCAAGACTACCGCATGATAAGCCTGTTGCAGCTCCTCTACAGTGACATCCTTCCCAACGGTGACATTCCCATAATAGGAGCAGCGATCAGACTGTGCTGTCTGGGTAAAGGTGTTGATCACATTCTGTTGGGTGGGGAAGAAAGTTGAAAGGATTTAACAAGAACAGCTGCACACTACATCCCAAGAAAACACAACCAAAAAGAGAAACCGGCAGAGAGGTCTCGACAATGGCTCTATGGGACCTTGAAGCTCTCTCCAATTCATGCCTCACAGCCCTCATCAGACGAAGGCTCCGTGCAATTTATTTTTAAAACAGACACAGTTATCTGTGGCTTGGCACCATTTCTGTCAGTTCTGTTGGAAGAAAGCAGAGCTCATTTTTCAGTGTCCCATCCACCACCAGTGCAAGATTCCACCTTTGAAAAGTAGAGAACAGATAGCTGGAGGGTTTGACTCAAATCTTGCCCTTTGAACAGTGCTGGGAATGACTGTCCCAATGCTAGCCAAGACAACTCAAGGCTCCAGCTGGCATTGCAGATGAGTCAGTCTTGCTTGTCTGTTGGAAAAATCATTTGTTTCCCTACAATAAAAGCAAGAACCTCACAGATGGAATGTTTTTAGCAGCCACAACAGATCCTGCTGTTCCCCGAATGACTGGAGACCAGGATTACCCATGTGTGAGTGAAAAGAAAAACCAAAAACTCTAGAGATAAGAACGGCGGAACAATCCCATTCAACAGTGCCAGCTGCCTACCCAAGCCAACCTTGCCTTGTGTACCCAGCTTTCATAGGAAGTTGCCTGCTTGAGTCAGACAGTAAAACACCTTGTTATAGATAACAAGCTTCCCTCTTCCAAAGCTTCTCCTCCAGAACTTAGCATTCAAAGCCTCTGCAAACAGCCCGCTTTCCTCCCCCTTGAACAATCTGGAACCAGAGAAAGGACACTTACAACAGGGGAAATTACCTCACAGGAACTGCATCCCTGCCCTCATTACTTCTCATGCCTGGGACCAAAGGGATCTAAGACTTGTTGTTAGCTTGCGCCACAGATAGGCAAGGTAGAGACCAGTGCGTCCCTCTCCAAGGCCAACAATGGGCCCTCTCCCCACCTTGAGCCCTGTCAGATGATGGGGAAACCACTACAAACCTTGACTTCAGGGTGGTCTGGTGCCACACCAAAACGAACGAGGCCAAAGGGAACAGGCAGCTTCTCATAAATGTCCACTCGGGCTAGCTTGTGGTGCTAGAGAAGAAGAGCACATAGTCACGATAGAAGCCACCAGAGACAGTGCACAAGTTAGATGGGGCAGACATCGGCTTTCTGCGTTTAGAACAGGCTGCAGAGGAGGAGCTCCTGATCTTCTTGAATCTGCAGGTACAGCAGGGAGGCAGAGAGCTCTTGCACCTCAGCACAAAGAGGGAGAGATGCACTCAAAATTAACAACACCCAGCTAGACTCTTATACCCCTACTTCCCCCCCCCCCTTGATTTCTGCTCCCAGGTATGAGCAAGTGAATGGGGCAGGAGTGTATACATGAGGAACTGCACTCTCTCATTAGTGGTAATTCTAAAGCTTTGCCTTCAAGTAGCAAGGACAGGCCTACAACAGCAATCATTACAACCCACTGTATAAGACAAAAGGACCCTGACAACTAACAAGCTTGTCCAGGACAAAAAAAATCGCCAAGATAAAAGCATGGCTCCAAGGGCCTTGGGCAGTCAGGGTTAGCCCAATCCTTCTTGAATTTGTCAAAGCAAACAAGAACTGCAGACAAAGCATGGATTATTTCTGCTGCAGAGATGCTAAAATACATCAGACCTCTCCAACACTCTGTTCAGCCAAGGTTTTGCCAACCAGGAACTATGGAAAAAGATACAACTAAGCTTAACAAAAAAAGAAACAACAAAAAAAAAACCCACCCCAAAACTTAAACAGGTCTACCTTCTCGCAGCTGCTGCAGCAGCTGGGGGAGGGGTGGGGGGGTGTCACAGGAGGCGGGGGGGAGCAAGTGGTGTGGAAGGAACAGGTGTCAGGCCACTTGACTCCCTGCCACCTGTATCCCCTCTCCCCGCCACCATCCCACCTGCAGCAGTGGGGGATACCAATTTAAGACGACCCTCAAATACTTAGATTCTATACCAAATTTATACTATGTAGATAAACAAATTTATACCAATATATATCATGTATATAATATAATTATTTGGGAGGGGGGAGGGTCTTAAATTTGAAGTCATCTTAGACTTGGGTAAATACAGTAGTTAGTTCATGCCTTTCAGTTTGAATGAGCACAGAGATAAAAAGTAGCCCTGAGATTTGTCCCTGAAGTTTATTAATGGCTACAGTTCAGCATGTTACACCCAGTGATCTTGGGGGAAGCAGATTTGTTTGTTTGACTTAGCCAAAATGGAGAGCATGTAAAATGACCATGCTTCCTTTAACAACAGATATATGCTGAAAGTCTTTATTGAGAGCACAGGCTTTAAGAGATGCATGTATGTGGCAAATCTAATTACAGAAACAGTATTTCCCCCGCTTTGTCCATAAACAGCTGGGGGCAGATGCTGTGCTACACCCTCTGGGAACGAAGACCACTGAAAGGGGAACAGAGGTGGCTGTAGGCCACCCCTGCACATTCCCTATGGGAAGACCTGCTATAGAGATCCAAATAGCCCTGACAATTAACAGCAGCCCAAGGGCTGCTCTAAGTTACAGCAGGCTCTACAGTGATGCCTACACATTGCAGTGCAAGAGGTAGAGAGATACAAAACACAGCTCCATTTCAGCATATTCCTTATGGTGGGGTCAGGCCAGTACTACCTATGATGGCCAAACTCAGTGCTACCACCAAACGAATCATCCTGTGTGCTGCTCTGGGATGGTTACAACCCTTATATGCCAGGACACCAAGCAGCTGCATCCCTCCGTGTTGAATGAAAGCCAAGTACCTTCAGCAGGTGCTGGGCAGTGTAAAACCCAGCAGGTCCGCTGCCCACGATACATATCCGGGGAATGCGCTCACCTGTGGAAAGGGGCCTCTTGAAACCTGGACAGGAAACAAATAGGAAAGTCAGCATAGGAATTCAAACAAATAGGAACAAACAAATAGGAAATCCAACCCACTTCCCACAGGCATCTCTGCTACGCCGAGATCTCTTGGGCATGCTGAACCTACATCAGCATAGGCTTGTCAGAGGCGCAGACACAGGCATGCTATAGAAGTGAACTAAGGACACCCACAGTTCAGATTCCAAAGGATCCTTATAAAAAGGGGCTTAAAAAGAACACCCCTTTGAGATCACTTACCCCCGTGTGCAGAACAGGCACTTGAAAGGTAACTACTAAGCGCCCCTGCACCACTGCCTCTATTCACAAGTGTCTAACAAGAAACTGTCCTGCTGCCTCTTGCTTCCTCCGACTTGAGATTTTCCTCCCCACATGACAAGCCAACCCTGCACCTTTGAGAATCACAAAAGCTCTTCCCTTTGGCCGTAGCTGTAACATCCATCTAGCACCTTGCAATCCTTCTCCTCCCACTCCCATCACAGGTGATCAATAAACTAAGAGGCCTGCAGTAAGCAGCATCTGGAAAAGTTGGACACCACAGCCTGTTTTTAGTCATAAGTCAGCACAACCTTGCAAGTCAGATGAGAAGTTTTATTCCACTGAGTACAAAGACACTCAAGACCAAATTACTGTGGGTCAAATGCCGGAGACTGCATTTCTCTGCCAAGCCCTTGATATTTTTCTTCTGTAGCCTTGATATTTCTCTCTCTTTCAGAAAGCAGCTTCCCAGCTCCACACTCACAGGACCTGTAAAGTCCATTAGATTCTTCTGGGGAAACAAAAGTTACCTGGTCCCCATTTCTGCAGGGAATGTAATTAGCTCAGGGGGACAGCGTGTCAGGATTGCACTGGCTGCCTCAGTGTAAATCAGGGGCAGTAATTCTCACCCACCTCCCAAGGACATTAAGGCTTCGTCAAAGCCCTCAGAGAAAACAGAACAGAAGTGCAGTGCATTTCAGGAGGGCATTTTCTCCTTGAAGGGAAAGGAGGACCTTTTGATTTAGGAGTGGCTAGTTCTTGGCGACTCTAATCCAGGGGTACGATGTCAGCAGGACACAATGGGAAATGAACTCTTCTTGCTACAACACAGGTCTGGCAGATGCAGTGACAGACTCTCCAGCACACCTTAATAAATTGACTCACCCTTGACCTCCACATGGAAACAGTGGAGTCTCCATGGTCCATTCAACCACAGACCTCTCTGCTGAAACTGCCGATTTAGTTTAATTACACTGCTTGATTCATGACATGGACATCACTTAGACACGAAGGACTGGATTAAACTAAACTAATTTATTCAACCCAGACTTACATCCTACTGAATGTGCTGTAACAAGAAAGGTAATTTTTCCAATCACATATTGCTAAGCAATATGATGCGTGCATCCACATATACATTAGATGGATGAACACATAAAAACAGGCAGGGAAAGCATGCAGGGAAAGCAGCGAATGTAATATACCTTGACTTTAGCAAGGCTTTTGATACCTTCTCCAACAGCATTCTTGCAAGCAAGCTGAGGAAGTATGGGTTGTATGACTGGACTGTAAGGTGGACAGAAGGCTGGCTGGATTGTCAGACTCAACAAATAGTAATCAATGGCTCAGTGGCCAGTATCCAGTGGAGTGCCCAAGGGGTTGCTCCTTGGGCCAGTTCTGTTCAACATCTTCATTAACAATCTGCAAGATGGGATGGAGTGCACCCTCAGCAAGTTCACGGATAGCACCAAGATGCGGGGGGAGGGAGGGGAAGAGTAGTAGATACACTGGAGGGTAGGGCTAGGATTCAGAGTGACCTACACAAATTGGAGGGCTGGGCCCAAAGGAATCTCAGGAGGTTCAAGAAGGGTAAGTGCAAAGTCATGCACTTCGGACAGAAGAATCCCATGCAATCCCAAGAGAAGATTGAGAAGGGATTTGATAGCAGCTTTTAACTATCAGAAGGGTGGTTACACAGAAGATGGAGCTGGACTGCTCTCAGTAGTGACCAATGACAGAACAAGTATCAATGGTCCAAAGCTGCAACAAGGGAGGTTTAAGTTGGATATTAGGGAAAACTCTCACTAGGAAGGTACTGAATCACTGGAACAGGTTACCCAGAGAGCTGGTGCAATCTCCATCCTTGGATGTTTTTAAGACCCAGCTCAACAAAGCCCTGGCTGGGATGATCTAGTTGAGGAAGGTGCTGTTTTAAGCAGGGGGTTGGACTAGACCTCCTGAGGTCCCTTCCAACCCTTATTTTCTACAATTCTGTGATTACCAGAGAGTAATTTTTGCTTCTAATCAAGATACTACTACTAATATATGCATACAGATTTACAACATATTGTATTTAAACTTGGTAACTTTCCTTTAAAGAAGGTGACCCTCTTTCATTCTACTTGTAGCACAAGATAAAACACAGCAACTGATGAGAATTCAAGTCACATTCATCTATTGCCTTTTTTGAATAGGTAAAGCTGTAGATTTCATTGCAACAAAGTCCCTCAATCCTCATATCTAGCACCCTTTTCTAAGTCATCTTCTTCACTACTGCTTCCTCCTTAAAACGAGTAACAAAAGCAAACAGCCTACTCCAACTGAGAATACATCCAATTGATGCAATACCATCGAGATCTCAACACTTTCCACCCTTTTATCTGTGTACCAAGCATTTTTGGTAGACATTTTGTCCATCAAGAAGACGGATACAGAACACACTGGACAGACATCTGTACTGAGCTTTCAAACCTCTCTCGTGAAAGGCCTACCCAGAACCCAGCAGCAAACAAGGAGTTTAACTTCATTTTGCTGACATACACTTGCATTCATGTATCTGGGTTAAATTTTAGCTGTCCCTTCAACCCACCTTTGGGTCCCAAACCAAACCATCGCCATCATCTCATAGGTCTCTTAGCACTTTTTGGCTCGCCTGTTAGAATTACTTAGGATATTACTTCTTAATATCCTTAGCAAACATCCCCCCAACCCCACGCCCCATCTCCCACCACCTATTTCTCCATCACCTCAGCAACATCTTCAGGAGACCTCCCGGCTGCCAAACTTGGCAGAGACAACCCGAGTGGGGCCAAACTGTCAAACTCCACCTGAAGGCGACAGCTGCTGCAGCTACTCAGGGCTTTGCGCCCAAGGTGCTGCGAACGGAGCACCTGAAATGAGAGGCCAGGCTTCAGCGCCTCGGCTTTTCAGAGACTAGAGGCACGGAGCCAAAGCCAAACTCCTTCCGCCTGTCCGGGGCCCCAGAGCAGCCATCCGCTACCGACCTCGCCACCTGCAACACGGCCGGAGGTACATCAGCTACACAAGAGCAAACTTCACCCCACGATTTCGCGCCCTCGGCTGTCTCCAAGGCACTGGGCCAGGAAGCAGGAGAAGCAGGCTGAGGTCGGAGCTCCGAGAGAAAGCAACCCCGATACCAGGGGTTTAAGCACATCTGTGTCAGCGCTGCTTTATCCTCCCGGGCTTTACCGAGGCTGCCACCCTAACAGCTCTGGGCAGTCTAGACACCCAAGGGCTTTGCCTACCCCGCCCCAGGCCCAGCCGCACAGGGCACCATGCCCCCAGCCCCGGGCCAGGCCCTACCCGCGAGGCCGGCGGGCCGCAGGCAGCGCAGGGCGGACGCCCCCCTCCAGCCGCCGCTCGCGCCCATCCCCGCGCCTGCCCTGACCGGCCGCCACGAGCTCCGAACCCACTCTGCGCATACTTCCGCTAGGCGCGGACCAAGGCTCACGGCAGCCCCGCCCAGCGCGGCTCTCCGCCAATCGCGTGGTGGGAAAGCCTTTCGATTAGCATAGCCCCGCCC